TATTATTGTTGTTAGGTTATGTCGTGTAGCATTGTTTAGTACACAAATGAAGCTGTATTGTATTCATTCATCAATGTCATCAATGCTGGTACAAGATTTCATTGAAGTGTAAGTGAAGTGTTGGGAACCCTGGGGTATGCAGTGTGGGTAGGGCCTGGAGAGAGTGGGATATAAAGAAGAAGGGCGAAATAGCGCTTGGGACATTGCCCTGAAGAACCTCTTTCAGAAGGAAAATTAAAAGCTGCTCTGATTGGGTATCTCATCCATTCATTCATTTATATTTTCTCACACAGTAAGTTCAAAAATAGCTGCTTGCACTCTTGTTTAAATCTATAAATTTTCATTTAGGCATGCTCAAAGCCTGGCTGCTCTCCAAGCCTATTCTCATTGGCTAACTCAATTCTACATGGAAAGCCACCGTCAAAACCAACATCAAAACAAATTTGGTACCCTTGTGTCTACCATGRTAGATTCTCTGGTTCCTCTGCTACATAAAGATGTAAGAACAATTGCTATACTTTATGTTTGATTAGAAAGGTGTCAGTGCGAGGCTTAGGGATACAATACTTTGTGTAAATAATTATATGTTTACACCACTAAGCCTCGTTTCAATTCATCTCGTAGAGTGCAAGTGATCGAAATACACAGCTAAAATATTATTTCCAACGCTACTCAACGCTATTTAGTACATGTTTCTAATAATGGCAATCCTGACASCACTTTGGTGACCTAAAAACATACTTTATTGGTATACAAATTGTGGTAAATTTTCTTCCAAAAAACTTTCTAATTCAATTKCAGGTACCTCATCGTATAGTCCTCCCTGCCTGCCATCTTCTTAATTCCTTAACCACTACTGTAAGACCGTCMTTTCTGATAGCYTTAGACAAAGTCCAAACTCTGTTCCATACTGTCAGCGTTGGAGAACTKRCTAATCTTCCTATTGAGGTAATGCATTATCGGCTCTTAGTCAAACATCTTCGTTTCATGGTTTAGTTTTTGTTGTATTAATTTTTGTGGTTTTGTAGATTCAGACCYTGGTGTTTCGTTCACTGTCCAATGCRTTGGTACTTCCTTGGCCACTAATGTCAGATAACGAACAGGTCAGTTGCTCTGATAACTTTACCATACATGCAATGGATAAGTCACGAG